GCGTTGTGGTACAACCAAGAAAAGTATGACGAAAAACCGCCTTTATTATGTTTTTTCAGAGCGTTCTCCATCGAGCACTTATTAGCCTGGCGTGCTGTGGTCGCCATTACATCTATGGTGTGGGGAAAGCCACAAACCGCCTACCCAGAACTGCTTTCTCTCACACTGGTATATGTCAGGTTTTCTTGATTTATGAGAGGTGAACCTCCTCGCATTTCTGCAACCAGCAATGTCACATAGCAAGTTTCATCCCCTACATTTTGGTATTTTTATTCCATTATTATTTTTGAATTTTCCGATGGCTCTGCCCATGCAATAACAAACAACATGCAGTAGCTCATCATGTCTTGCATCGAAAGTCAAACAAAGAGAATTGTCTGTGAGTCGAATGAAGGCTGATACAATGTACTCAAAGTCTGCGATAAATCCCATTTCCTGCGATCTACACTTTCAAATGTCTTAGGTCGGGGGGGTAAGGGACCCCCATTACCCCCCAGTTGTCTTTTCCACCCTCTTTGGGTAATTCCAGACTCGCACTGAACAATTACATATTTTGGGAGCAGAGTAACATATGAACAAAAGGTCGCCTTTTCACATGGCACCAAAGAAAGATTGCAGATAAGGTAGACTGAGCTGTAGGGTGTTGGAGAGGGAGGCGTGAGGAGCATTAAAACTATATAAGTCATCCACTATTTTGCGCAGGTTTGCTGTTCATTTGGCACCTTGCTCTAAAAAATCCATGCTCCCCACCAATTGGTTTTTGGGTGCTTTCTGACGACATTATATTATGTGATTGCAAAAATTAGGAGATTTGGCGGATATTTTTTTGGACAACCAGAATTGGTTGCGGACAACACTGATTTTGATGCCTGGGGTGTCCGCAGGACAACCACATTTTTTTTCTTATATTTCGAGCACTGCTTACTTAGGTATCGTAGGATTTTAGAATTTAATCATCTGAAATTCACTTCGCGTGCCATAACTAATCCGCTGCATGACTAGCATGACTAATCGTCCGCTTCGTGACGTGCAATAAACTCAATATTCACAGAGAGTATGAATTCAAGCCGGTACGGGAGATCTTTATGCCATAAGTATAGTCATAGTATACCTATAGGAAACATGTCCTTAGACTGATATCTCTGTGAATATGGAATTATTGCGCACGATTTAGTCAATAGTTACAAAATATATGCGTGCCTCATCGTCCGTCCGGCCGGTTGAGTATAGACGCTCCAGCCGATTCTCCGCTTTGTTTTTCATCGGGGCGGTGGCCTCACCGGACGTTTATTGCTAAGGGGAGAGTGACGTGTCACTCGCGCCCACCTATAGCCCAGGACCGTGCAAATTTAGCCGGGCGCTGCACTAGGACAGCGGTTCCCATAGGTACCGTAAGTCTCTCCTAGAGGGCGTGCCACTTATGGATCTCACGCTCGCGTCTCCCATAGGTCCAAATAGCTAGGCTTTAGATCCGTAGATGGCGCCATTCATTAATTAACAATTAATAAAATCAGTTAACCCCTAATCTCACTCCCTAGACCCAAATCCCTAACCGCTGAACCCTACTCCTAACCTGAACGCATAACCTAACGCCTAATCTAACCTATAACGCCTAGCCCTGAATTAAAAATATAAAATAAGGCCCCTAGGGGGAGAGATTCCCGGTACCATGGGAGACGCTCGCTGTCACCTAGTCGCAGCCAAATTAAGCCGCGCGGATAAATTCTTCATAATCTCTTGATATATTTTCTGCAATATATATGCAGAAAATAATCTAATATATAATCTAATATTATTATATAATATAATATATAAATATAATCAAAAAATATAATGCATCGTGGTACTTATATAACTACAAGTTGGTACGTTTTCGAATTTTTATCGATCTTAAAACGGTACACCGTACAGTCAGTCACAGTCTATTGCACTAACTAACAACATAACTCATAACATAGGCCTAGGGCCTAAGTCATAACTTGAAGTTGAAGTTACTTGAAGGATTAGCCTATTTGAAGCCCTACCACCACCACAAGCAGGTTAATCGTAGCGTTTCTTTCATCTGAGTCTAAGTTAAGTTATCTTAGCTTAAACATCTACGTATATACAATAGTACCTACTGATAATAATAATAGTTTTTGATTATACAGCCGTTATAATCAGAATTGCAAATAAATCACAAATAATGTTTCTTTTTCTGGTGGACGCAGACATTTTCTAACAAGTGAACATTTGCAGTTAATCTTGTCATCTTTAAACTTGATCCGTGGCTACAGGGCGTAGTGCTTCTTCCTGGACCACATTTGTAGAGTTGTAAGAACCGTCGTTTGGTTAACCAGGTCAAGTTTGAGTTATAGACGTAAATTAACGAGGTTTGTGGCGTATTACCTTACTTAATATGATTATCTTAGTCATATTTTCTGTGTTGCATTTTTCAGGGTAGATCGCCACTTGTTTATTAATTGGAAGTGTTGTTTATTAGTTACGATTGGCATTTCTGTTTTATGTGTGGTCGTATTCCAGTCACTTCATTTGGAAGATCGAACGTAAGAGAACAAGAAAGTTACACTTTAAAACAGCAAATTTAAGGTAACATAGTTAAACCATGATCTATTTCCACTATTACTAATATTTTATATCTTGTCGTCCACGCGTTGCTTGCACAAATGGCTGTCAATTTGTGGTGGTACTTGCACTCAATGACTCATACTCATAGTCATACACAGTGACAGTATGTAGGCCTAGTGACTGGGAGATCTACAGATCAGTAATCCTGCTCAGTGCTCATAGAATCGACATGAACGACGACTATTTATCAGATAACATATCTATGTGCTAAATCTAGCAATGTCTTCACACTCACAGCATTATGCGCTGAGTTGTGGTGAATTACAATAACTAGTGTCAGTATTGAACTAGAGCTACACACAGGCACTTGAAGCGTTTCAATAAAATAGAATGCTAACTAAATACGAAATCTATTTACTACCAAATTCTTAATGTTTCTATACTCTCTTTCACCTATTATTGCCAACAGTTTCCTGTCAATTCCTACGTCCCAACTTTTGAATCCGTACGTCGAGCCGTTTAGATTTGTGCCCAACTGTTGATGGACGCACAGACAGACGCACGCTCATGCGATTCTACAAGCTGCATCTGACTATGTCAGATGAGCTAAAAAAGGTGCATTTCCTCTAAGAATTAAATGACATTTAAATGTATAAACTTACAGTATGACTTCCATAGATGGGGAAATGGATCACCAAACCCTGGTTCCTCATCATCTGCAAATGAATAAAATCACAACTTCAAAATACAACTAGTTACCACAACATTTTCACAATAGAAATCAGTGACATATATGAGACATCGTAACTGCCTAACGATTAATTATAAGCAAAGTAATCGTTAGGCAGTTACGACGTTTCATATATTAAGTAACAAAATTTAAATCTATGAACAGATAAAGGGACATGATAATTGGCACCACAACTGACTATTTGTATCAATCAATCATTGTTTGAACATTACAATATAACATTTTTATAGCAGCATGACATAATGAAATCCATCCCCTAAACACATGTATATCAACATCACATATTTACAGTGTAAAGAGCAATGCATTTACTTACGGGGCTTCCTCAAATACCATATTTACATCTCATTTTAATACTGTCATTTGATAATATTATTAGCAAACAAGCCCATGTATAATTCACACTAGCTTGATTACTTACCGGCTGCGTACATGACAACTGGAAAGAAATACCTGAAAACGATTAAAAGAAAAGTGAAAACTCATGAGATATTTTTTATCATGGTCAAGCAACTAGCAAAATGACAGCTATGTTTGTTTTCTATCAGGTTTTGTGCTTTAAAGTTGCATTAGTAACAAAAACAAATATTACAGGATAAGCGGCCTTCCTTAACAGCCATCAATGCTTTGCAGTCTACACTGCTAGTAGTAAGACTAATACATTTTGAAGTACTACTTATATTACTGCTGCGAGTTTTCTTCTATGACATTTTCCAATGTATTTGATCACACTGTATACAATCTGAGGCATTAACCATTTTAGTATTAGGTTCATATTTCTCAAACTTGGTAAAATATGTGCATTTCAAGTATCATCAAAAATACATTGCTAACAACAGAATGATGACTTTCTATCTTGTCTGTTCATCCCTGGCATTCGGTGCAGATAAGTTAGATTGCCGCCACAGTTTATTCCCGGTTGGCCTACTCCCATTTCGCCTACATTATATGGCAAAATTTCCATTTCACCTACAGTAAAATTCCGAGTTGGTCTACACCCATTTCGCCTACTCCCAATTCGTCTACACTCAAAATCTACCCCATTCCCATTTCGTCTATGATCGGTTTGTTCACTAAATAATCATTAATAAATAATAAAATATGGTTTTGATTTCCATACATACCGGTAGGCTACAGGAACCAGAAAAAAATATAGGTGATACTTGACAAAAAATTTAATAATTTAAAGGAACAGTAGCCTCTAGCTTCTAGGGTTATTTTCAGCTAATCTAGGTTATAATTGCGCTACATAAAAAGTTTCATGGTTCAATCACCATTAGAAATATTTTTAAAAAATGTTTTAAAACTAACGACTACAGTTTGATTA